CCCTTTGTCTCCTTTTATGAACACCTGTGACATGTGGTCTTTCTCTTGAAGAGACCATTCTCAAAGAGGCATTTGAGGGGGCTTTGGCTGAGGATTCTCTGCTTTCTGACTTTTGTGCTAAATGGTCCACAGTAGTGGGGTGATGTATCGAGAACCTGCAATCCCACTCTTGGGAGTTTAAGGTCGTCCTTATCTGAACAGTATGTTAAAGGCCAGCCTGGGCTACATGAGCCCCTGTCTCAAAAGACTCTAAAAAGGAAAAAGGAGAAGGTTCACAGTGAAAGGCATTCTGGGACTTTTGCTTGGTTCAGCTTTTTCTCTTAATGGGGGACTTGGACTGTTTGTAACCTGATTTTCACGCTTGTAACTTCCTTTTCTATCTCCTTAAGCTGCATTTGAGTTGACAAACCGTAAGTTAGTCTGCTTGCCTCCTTCCCTCTCCTCCACCTCTTCCTCCCTCCCTCCCTCCCATAAGAAAATAACAACTCATTATTTTTACATGATCCTTTTAAGTTTGTAATTTGAGCAGTGAAGCTGCTTTATTAACTTATTATTTTACTTTTGTTTTTGATCATTTACATGATGACTCAAGCTAGAAAATACAGTATACAAAATATATGTAAAAGTCACAGTAGTCTTTAAATGCTTGATATGAAAAAAATAATGTCTTGGCTTTCTTTTTTAAGGTCTTATGGAAGTGTTTTTAAAGCAATACATAAGGAGTCTGGTCAAGTTGTTGCGATTAAGCAAGTGCCTGTCGAGTCAGATCTTCAGGAGATAATTAAAGAAATCTCCATAATGCAGCAGTGTGACAGGTAAGAAAACATTTTATAATTAAAGAAATCTCCATAATGCAACAATGTGACAGGTAAGAAAACATTTTATAATTAAAAAAATCTCCATAATGCAGCAGTGTGACAGGTAAGAAAAACGTTTATCTCCTTGTGTTCATTGAGATAACTCTCCTTAGTTACATAGTAAAATGTGTGTTTTCTTACCTCTGTAAGTTGTTTCTTCATGACTTCACATTGGAAGCAAAACCAATCCTAAAGAACTTGAGGACAACTGTGCTGAATTGTCTTTTGGCCTTACAGCTGTTTGCTAAGAGACAGAGATGTTAAAAAGGAGTGAACACAGGAAGCAAAATAACCAACCTTTCTTCAGGAAAACTTATGGATGGATATTGCATTTTTGATGTTAAGTGGTTTGTTTTGATTCTGTATTACATTTTTTGTTGTTGTTTTTCCATACAGGGTTTCCTATATAGCCTAAGCCTGGCCTTGAACTCCCCTATAGCCTAGACTGGCCTCAAATTTGGCATCCTTCTGTTTCAGCCTTCGGAGTTATGGACTGATAGACATGTTCTGCCATGTCTGGCATATAATTAATTGCTTTTGTAAATCCGACTCATTCAGCAGGCATTTATGAACCATTTCCTACTGGACAAGTACTGTGTCAAGATCTAGAAATACTAAGAAAACTAAGATTTGCTTTCTTTGCAAGGGGCTAAGGTCTAGTTGGGAGGACAGAAATGAAGGAAGAGCTCTGCCTGAGTGCAGTTAGAGGGCTGACTGGTCCTGGATTCTTGGAGTTACAATGAAAACAAGGGGGCAGGTTCCTTTCTCAGCCAGGGTGACTGGAAGTCCAGAATGCTGAGGAAGAGTGAACTTGGTGGAGAAATGGAGGGCTGAAAGAGTTAAGTGTTACATAGCAAGGTGAAAAACAGTTCTCCTGCAGTGTTTAGAACTACTGTAGTGGAAAGCTTGAGCCAGGGATTGGTGGCAGTGTGATTGGAGAGGTAAGTGCAGCCCACGACGAAGGTTCTGTATGCCCTTCTAAGTGTCCTGGGCCTTCGAGGGTGCAGAGGGTTAAATGCAGTGCAGTTAGTTAGCCTGCTGTGAGTTAGCAAGGGGCTGCAGTTCTCCTTTGCCAAAAGGTTTGAAGGTGGGAACAGCAGCAGCATAGTGGCCCCTGTCTTCCAGGCTTATGTGTTTGTACTTTCTCATTAGCACTAGCCTCGGGGATTTATGTCATGGGTATAGGAGGTGTGGGGCTTTGAATGAGAACTGTCCCCATAGGCTCATCCCCCGGAGACTCATAATTTTGAACGTGTGGGCTCCAGTTTGTAGGGGACACAGAAGTTGTGGGTGGTGGAGTCTTGCTGGAGGAAGTGTGTCACCAGGGTTCCAGGTTTACAGCCATACCCAGCCTGCTGTCCTTTCCCTGCTCCCTGTGCGTGATGAAAATGAGACCCAGAGCTTCCTGCTGCCGCCACCACCACGCCTTCCCAGCTTTGATGGACTCCTTTAGAGACATAGGCCAAGATAGATCCTTCCTGCTCTAAGTGCTTTTATTTAGTGTTTTAACCACAAATCTGAGCATCGTGTCTATTAGTTTTGTAGTATTTTGATGACAGTTAATTCTTACACATCTTCCTTCTGAAGTGCCATTATCTTTTTATTTTTCTTTATTTCTTGGAAAGAAGAACCATAAAATACTAAAATGGCAAGTAAAACAGTGAAGCTGGAAAAGATAGTTAAATATGTTAACTGCTAATTATTAATGTAGGTGAATGATTGAAAAGTTGACAAATGATTTCGAAGAAAATTAATAAAAATAGAAAAATTCATACATCTGAAAATTTGGCCAGACAAAATGAGATGAGTACTTTTCTGGAATTCAAATAGTTCTTAGTTTATTCAAGGATTGGGCAGTTGGAAAGTTATCTTGCTTTATGAACTTGCAAGAGTCATATTGAATGTTTTGAACTTTTAGCGAATGTTAGGCACATACTGAGTAGTTTGTTCAGGGATCCTGCCACTTTGATTGCTGAATCATCCCTTTCTATCCCAGTGACTTGCATGGTAACACATGTTTTTAGACTACATTCTGTAGGGAAGCAGGGACAACACGATTCACTTACTTAGCCATTCACCTATTACATTTTTAGTGCCTGTTCTCAACTATGCCTCTCAGGTGCTGTTCACAAGAGCTCTAATGACGACCCCCAGGGATTCAGAGGGACTTCCGGTCAGACGGACAAGGCAAATGAATAGCCGGGCTGTTTCAGTATAGTCTGCTAAGAGCTCTAGTGTGGTAAATAAAGGAGCTTACGCACAGCTTCCTCAGGGAGATCACACCCATGCTAAAGGATGAATTAGGTTTGACAACAAAGGAGAGGTGAGCAAAGAGGTCATTTTCAGCTGGCCTGTGCAGAATGTGAGTCCAGAGCAGATTCTCCCGTGTGATTTGTTTTTCAGATTTGAACACTGTGTGTCTGAGGCAGGGTGGGATAAGCAGTGAGAATACTATTTAAAGGACTAGTGATGAATGTTTGCAGTTTGCATCAGCTCCTGTGAATGCCTACTCAGTGTGGGTGGGCCACACGGAAGAAGAGAGTTTATTTTGAGATACTGTGGTCTAGGAACCCCCATTTGGGTTGTCTGGAACCACATCTTCCTCTGTGCAAGTGGTTCTGAAGGCTTCCACTCAGGCCACCTGCCCCAGACTCTCTTCACACCAATACCTTAGTGCTTCTCTAATTAGGGGCTACCTTGGGATTTGAATGTGTTTTGTTCTTCCATAGAAACCGTTTTCTCAAGTAACTTAATATATTTTAAAATATGTATTTTTATTCCTTGACAATTAATGTATTTTAATGAATTTTGTACTTCTTCAGTCCAGTTATCTTCATCCCACCTCCCCAAAGAGCCACACCCCTTTCCTAGTTTGACGTCTTTTTATATGACCCACTGAGTTTAATTAGAATCGTTGTGTGAGCATGGGGTAGGGGTTGAGCTAGGAACAACTTTATTTGTAGAAATGGTAAATATAAAATGATAATTCAGTTCATTTAACAGTATCCCACTAGAGTGTGTGACTTTGATGTGACTCGTGGTTGTTGAGATACTTTCTCGGGTTAATGTTCTTGAGTGTGTTTTATGATGCAGAGTTGTTGAAATCTGGTTTATCTGATTTTGTATTAGTATGGGCCATGAATTACTATTTTGAAAACAGCTTTATCCACAAAGTGTTCTTTGGACTCACTTTCATGAGAGGCCTGGGGAATGGATTGACTGCTTTTTCAGGTGGCTAATTGTCGTGAGAGATGTCAGTCCTACCCTTGGCATCGCTGCCTACGTACTACATGTGACAAGATCATGCCACACTGTGCATGTGCTTTGCAGTGGACATCATCTTCTGTCTCAGTCTTGTGCTGGCCTCAAGCTCACCATGGCAGCAGGCTGATCTGGAAGTCCCACGCTGCCTCCCGATCCAGGGATGTCGGGCACGCACCACCACTCCTGGGCAGTCAAGATGCTCTTGGTTATCCTGGAGCTCACACTATTCTAAGTTATGAATGAGAATATTAATATTCAAAGAGCTGTCTGAAGGGTATGTAGTTTATTTTCTGAAGTTGTGTCTTAGGTACTTAGGTTTTCTATTGCTGTAGTGAAACACCATGACCAAAGCAAGTTGGGGAGGAAAGGGTTTATTCAGCTTACACTTCCACATCACTGCTTATCACTGAGGGAAGTCAGGCTGGGAACTCAAACAGGGCAGGAACCTGGAGGCAGGAGCTGATGTAGAGGCCTTGGAGTGGTTCTGCTTACTGGCTTGCACTTCTTCATGGCTTGCTCAGCCTGCGTTTTTGTAGACCCCAGACACCAGTCCAGGGATGGCACCACCCACCATAGGCTGGACCCTCCTCCACTGATCAGTAATTAAGATAACGTGATGTAGTCCGATCATATGGAGGTTCCCTTCTTTCGGATGAGTGGCTTGTGTAAAGGTGACATAATACTGGTCAGCACATGTGGTCAACTCTGGGTCTATGTCAGAGTCACCCACCCTAGAGCTGTGGGACAGCGTGTGGGCCATAACCTGGAAGGTGTGTAAGGTGTGGGGCCTGGTGCAGGGGTGGTTCTGTAGGGTGGAAGAAAGTCAGAGGGAACTGAGAAACAGTGGGGGTAAGACATTGCATTTCAGCCCAGTAGC